TGCAAATATCTTCTCCCATTCCGTGGGTTGCCTTTTAGTTTTGTTGACTGTTTCCTTTGCTGTGAAGAAGCTTGTTATCTTTTTAAAAAGATTTTATTTATTTATTTGAGAGAGAGAGAGAGAGACAGCACAAGCAGGGGGAAGGGCAGAGGGAGAGGGAGAAGCAGGCTCTGCACTTCTCCAAGGACCCCGGGATCATGACCTGAGCAAAGGCAGATGCTTAACCAACTGAGCCACCCAGGCACCCAGAAGCTTGTTATCTTGATAAGTCCCAAAAGTTCATTTTTGCTTTTGTTTCCCTTGCCTTTAGAGATGTATCTTCAAAGAAGTTGCTGTGGCCCACGTCAAAGAGGTTACTGCCTATGTTCTCTTCTAGGATTTTGATGGATTCCTGTATCACATTTAGGTCTTTCATCCATTTTGAGTTTATATTTGTGTATGGTGTAAGAGAATGGTCCAGTTTCATTCTTCTGCATGTGGCTGTCCAATTTTCCCAGCACCATTTACTGAAGAGACTTTTTTTCCATTGGATATTCTTTCCAGATTTGTCAAAGATTAGTTGACCATAGAGTTGAGGGTTCATTTCTTGGGTCTCTATTCTGTTCCATTGATCTATATGTCTGTTTTTGTGCCAATACCAGGCTGTCTTGATGATCATAGCTTTGTAATATAGCTTGAAGTCAGGCATCACGATGTCCCCAGCTTTGTTTTTCTTTTTCAACATTCCCTTGGCGATTCGGGGTCTTTTCTGGTCCCATACAAATTTTAGGATTGTTTGTTCCAGCTCTGTGAAAAATGTCAATGGTAATTTGATAGGGATGGCATTGAAAGTGTAGATTGCTCTGGGTAGCATAGACATTTTAACAGTGTTTATTCTTCCAATCCACAAGCATGGAATGTTTTCCCATCTCTTTACATCTTCCTCAATTTCTTTCATAAGTGTTCTGTAGTTTCTAGAGTATAGATCCTTCATCTCTTTGGTTAGGTTTATTCCTAGGTACCTTATGGTTTTTGGTCCTAGTGTAAATGGAATTGATTCCTTAATTTCTCTATCTTCAGTTACATTGTTAGTGTATAGAAATTCAACTGATTTCTGTGCATTGATTTTGTATCCTGCCATGTTGCTGAATTGCTGTATGACTTCTAGTAATTTGGGGCTGGAGTCTTTTGGGTTTTCCACATAAAGTATCATGTCATCTGTGAAGAGAGAGAGTGTGACTTCTTCCTTGCCAATTTGGATGCCTTTTATTTCTTTTTGTTGTCTGATTGCTGAGGCTAGAACTCTAGTACTATGTTGAACAATAGTGGTGAGAGGGGGCATCCTGTCATGTTCCTGACCTTAATGGAAAAGCCCTCAGCTTTTCCCCATTGAGAATGATATTCGCTGTGAGCTTTTCATAGATGGTTTTTATGATATCGAGGAATGTTCCCTCTATCCCTCACTCTGAAAAGTTTTAATTAGGAAAGGATGCTGTATTTTGTCAAATGCTTTTTCTGCATCAATTGGGAGAATCATATGGTTCTTGTCTTTTCTTTTATTGATGTGCTCTATCATGTTGATTGATTTGCGAATGTTGAACCACCCTTGCATCACAGGACTAAATCCCACCTGGTCAGTGGTGGATAATCCTTTTAATGTACTGTTGGATCCTATTGGCTAGTATTTTGGTGAGAATTTTTGCATCCATGTTCATCAGGGATATTGGTCTGTAATTCTCCTTTTTGATGGGGTCTTTGGTTTTGGGATCAGGGTAATGTTGGCCTCATGGAACACGTTTGGATGTTTCCCTTCCGTTTCTATTTTTTGGAACAGCTGCAGTAGAATAGGTATGATTTCTTCTTTAAATGATTGGTAGAATCCCACTGGGAAGCCATCTGGCCCTGGACTCTTGTTTTTTGGGAGGTTTTTTATTACTGCTTCAATTTCTTTACTGGTTATTGGTCTATTCAGATTGTCCATTTCTTCCTGTTTCAGTCTTGGTAGTTTATAAGTGTCCAAGAATGCATCCATTTCTTCCTCATTTCCTCGTTTGTTGGCATATGCCTGCTGGTAATAAGTTCTAATAATTGTCTCTATTTCCTTGGTGTTGGTCGTGATCTCTCCCCTTTCATTCATGATTTTATTGATTTGGGTCCTTTCTCTTTTCTTTTTGGATAAGTCTGGCCAGGGGTTTATTGATCTTATTAATTCTTTCAAAGAACCAGGTTTTAGTTTCATTGATCTGTTCTACTGGTTCTGGTTTATATTTCCTTGATTTCTGTTCTAATCTTTATTATTTCTCTTCTCCTGCTTGGTTTAGGCTTTATTTGCTGTTCTTTCTCCAGCTACTTTACATGTAAGTTTAGCTTGTGCATTTGGGATTTTTCTAATTTTTTGAGAGAATCTTGGATGGTTATGTATTTCCCTCTTAGGACCACCTTTGCACTATCCCATAGGTTTTGGACCAATGTGTTTTCATTCTCATTAGTTTCAATGAATTGTTTACAATCTTCTTGAATTTCCTGGTTGACCCAATCATTCTTTAGCAGGATGCTCTTTAACTTCCAAGTGTTTGAGTTCCTTGCAAATTTATTCTTATGGTTGAGTTGCAGTTTCAAAGCATTGTGGTCTGAAAATATGCAGGGAATAATCTCAATCTTTTGGTATCAGTTGAGACCTGATTTGTGACCCAGTATGTGCTCTATTCTAGAGAAAGTTCCATATCCATTTGAGAAGAATGAGTATTCTGTTGTTTTAGGATGGAATGTTCTGTATATATCTACAAAGTCCATCTGGTCCAATGTGTCATTCAGAGCTCTTGTTTCTTTGTTGATCTTCTGCTTAGATGATCTGTCCATTGCTGTGAGTGGAGTTTTGAAGTCTCCTACTATTAATGTATTATTATCAATATGTTTATTTTGGTTATTAATTTGTTTATATAATTGGCTGCTCCCATGTTGGGGGCATAGATATTTACAACTGTTAGATTTTCTTGTTGGATAGACCCTTTAAGTATGATATAATGTCCCTCTATGTCTCTTATTATGGTCTTTGGTTTAAAATATAATTTGTCTGATATGAAGATTACTACCCCAGCTTTCTTTTGAGGTCCATTAGCATGGTAAATTGTTCTCCATCCCCTCACTTTCGATCTGGAGATATCTTTAGATTCAAAAAAGGTCTCTTGTAGACAGCATATGGATGGGTCCTGCTTTTTTAATCCAATCTGAAACCCTGTGTCTTTTCATAGGAGCATTGAGCCCATTTACATTCAGAGTAACTACTGAAAGATATGAATGTAGTTCCATTGTATTGCCTGTAACATCCCTGTTTCTATAGATTTTCTCTGTTTCTTTCTAGTCTATGTGACTCTTGGAATCTCTCTTCCCTTCCAAAATTCCCTAATATTTCTTGCAGGGCTGGCTTGGTGGTTGCATATTCTTTCAGTTTCTGCCTGTCCTGAAAGCTCTTTATCTCTCCATCCATTCTGAATGACAGCTTTGCTGGATAAAGTGTTCTTGGCTGCATGTTCTTTTCATTTAGTACCCTGAATATGTCTTGCCAGCCCTTTCTGGCTTGCCAGGTTTCTGTGGACAGGTCTGATGTTATTCTAATATTCTTCCCTCTGTATGTCAGGAACCTCCTCTCCCTGGCTATTCTCAGGATTGTGTCTTTGGCTGTAAAATTAGCAAGCTTCACTATTATGTGTCAGTGTGTTGACTATTTTTATTGATTTGGGAGGGGTCCTTTCTGCCTCTTGGACTCGAATGCTTGTTTCCTTCCCCAGATTAGGGAAGTTCTCAGCTATGATTTGCTCAAATATACCTTCTAGCCCTCTTTCTTTCTCCACCCCCTCGGGGGTCCCAATAATTCTGAGATTGGAACATTTAATGGTATCATTAATCTCTCAAATCCTTTTCTCTTGTGCTACTAGCAGCCTATCTCTGTTTTCCTCAACTTCCTTTCCACCAGCTTATCTTCTAGATCACTAATTCTCTCTTCTGCCTCATTTGCCCTGGCTGTTAGAGTATCCAGTTTAGATGGTATCTCATTCATAGCATTTTTTTAGTTCAGCCTGATTAGATCTCATATCTGCTCTTAGAGATTCTATATTGTCACTAGGGCTTTTTTCAAGCCTAGCTATTGACTTTATGATTACTATCCCAAATTCTATCTCTGACATCTTGCTTATATCCATATCCATTTGTTCTGTGGCAGAGGACATTGTCTCTGTTTCTTTTCCTTATTGAGAGTTCCTCCTCCTAGTCATTCTGTTGAGGGATGGTTGAGTGAATGAGCAGAGGCCAATTCTGTTGAGGGATGGTTGAGTGAATGAGCAGAGGCCAAAATATCAACCACAACCCAAGCAAGATGCACCCTAGCAAAATCTGAAGTGGTCAGAAGCCACAACCAAAAAACAAAGCCAAAATGAAACACAAGAATAAAATTAAAAAATTAAAAAAAATTTAAAAAGTGGGGGATGCAAAAACCCATAAAACCATAGGATAAGACAGAAACAAAGGAGAAAGTCCTTACCACCCAGAGTTAATAATATTTTGGAGGCTGGGTCTTTTTGGTCTTCTGTTCTATGCATATGCCATGTATATATTTATTTCAAGAAAAATATCCTAGTCTAACAATGTTGTTTTCTGTACCCTTAATATTTCCCACTACCAATCAGTATCCCTTTAGATCATTTTTAGTTGCATAGTATTTCATACTGTGCACATATTACAACTTACTTAACTAATGCTTTCTTGTTGAATACTTAGGTCATGGCTAGTGTGAAATGTGCTACAATGTTCATCCTTGGAGATGAGCATACACTGTTTCCCATATGATATTAGAATGCTGGAACACTGGAAGGGCCTCATTATAAGAGACCAAAAAATAGCAAGGGTAGAGAGAGACTGAATGGATTCCATATGGGTTCCCTAAGGTGCAAACAATATTCCCAATTTGCTTTTCATCAACAGTGGTTTCTTTCTGGCTAACCTAGTGAGAAGAGTGAGAACGGAACATGCATCTAGAGAACAAAGATGGTGGGCTGACCTCTGGTGTGCTGGAGATGGAGCTACATCAGACATCTTCTCCCATGTGTGCTGGCCTGGGAAGGCCAGAACTGACAGGACCTGTCACCAGCAACTGCAGGCTACAGCAGGGAGTCAACAAAGCAGACCCCTCAACCCCCTACCCCAGCAGGGCAGCTGGGCAGAGCTGCTGGGCATCTGTGGACCGAGATTTTGATTCATTCCTCACAGAGCAGAGGTGAGTTTATAATAATTTTATCTTGTAAATGTGGAATTCACAAATATTGGATTTCTGTGAGTGGTTCCCCCATTTTTTGTCGGAAAATTTTCAGATATTATGCAAGAAATGCAAGAATCTTTCTAGCACTTTCCTGGCCTGTGTTGAATGAATGCTTTTTCTAAAATGTGGCTAACATAACTCCAAAAGGTAATAAAAATAAAGAGAGATTTTTAGGATGAAATTTGCATTTACTAGATTATTTTAAGGCATTAAAAGTATTACATGACTTTAAAAAGGATATATATTTACATACTTATATATATAATATGCATATATATATATCTTAGAACATGCTTTATTCCTACAAATATGTCAAGTGAATTAATTGAATATTGTTTTTCATGTTAGAAAAATCTAGATTTACATAAAAAAGAACTTTTGATAAACCCTTAAATATTTACCAAAGTAAAGCCAATAAATAGATATAAAAGCATCCTATAAGTGTCTATTCATACCCATGTAGGGACATCTTGTTTACCCTGCAGATCTGGGTATCCTTGTCCCCACAGGCATTAAGTCCTGCTCAGGGCAGTTGCTCAGCCAGAACCTGACCCATACAGTACCAGTGGTCTAATGTTGAAAAAGGCAAAGCATCACAGAAATGCATACAAGTGTGGTGTAGAGCCCCACCACCTGCCATGATCCTGTCCCCTCCTCTTCTCTAGGGTAAGACCTATCCCAGCTTACTGTTGATCTCACCAATGTGCAGGTTCATACTTTCACTGTTTGTTTATGTATCACTAAATAGTATATGCTCTTGTTTTGCTCTTTTTGTCCAACTTGTTTTTGGGATTTGTCAGTGTGGCTGCCTGTAGTTTTTGTTAATTCATTTCAATTGCTAGCATAAGATGTCAGTATATGAATATCCCACAGTTTATATGTCTTCTCCTGTAGGTAGCTATTCAGTGTCTACCCCACTCCCTAGTATTTTGCTATTAAAAACTACAACACATTTTCTCATATAGGTTTTCTAGGGTATAAGTGAGGGGGATTCTCTAGAGTATCTCTCTACTTGAGAATGAATGTCGGTTCCTAAAGTGTATGCACCTTAGGATTTACTAGATGTACCAGATTCATAATTGTATCAATTTACCCTCCCACCTTTACAACATTTGGTGCTGGGGGACTTTAACATAAGAAGATGTGATACATGTGATGTGCTATGTCATGGTTTGCAAGGAAATTTACATTTCCTTGTTGACCAGGAAAGCAGACCTTCTTCCCACATGTTTACTAAACAGTTAGGTTTGTTTTTCATAATGTACAATCTCATACATTTTGCTCAATTTTCTAATGAGGTGTTAATATTTTTCTTTCTGTGTTGTGGGTTTTTTTTTTTTTTAATTCTTCATATTAACCATCTTTGGTCCTGTGTTGCAGGGTCTTCTCCAAGCCAGAAGATCATCTTTTCTTTTTAGTTATGATTTTTAAAAAAAGATTTATTTAATTATTTTAGAGAGAGAGCACAGTTGGGAGGGGCAGAGGGAGAGAGAGAATCTGAACCAGACTCCATGCTGAGCATGGAGCCCAGTGTGGGACTCGATCCCATGACCCTGAGATCACAACCTGAATCGAAACCAAGAGTCAGATGCTCAACCCACTGAGCCACCCAGGTGCCCCTATTTATGTTTTTTTTTTTTAAGTAAAGTATTTAATATGATTATATTTGTAAATCTTTCATGGTTTTGTACTCTTTTTTGGGGTTAATATTTTTAAGCTCAGATATTTTTAAGAACTCCATTTCCTCTCTGATTTCATAAAAATTGTCTCCTGTTTTCTAAAAGTTTTAAACTTTGCTCTTTAGATTTAGCTCTTTTACCAACCTGGAATTTATTTTTAAATCACCTTTCCTTCCCCTCTCTTCTTTCATCCTTCCCTCTTTAGTACTTAAAAATATAATAATACATACCAAAAAACAAAACAAAACAAAAAAACCCCCCAAAACCCCGTACAGCTTTTGATAAAAATTTTAGGTCTGAAATGCATGAATAATTAAGGGCACCTTGGAAGGTGAAGGAATACCTCCAGAATTTCTATGTAGGATTGGATTAGGGCAGACTGTGGGGAAGCTGGGGCTGAAGACCTTCTCTGGAAGCTGTGTTGACCTGGTACATCAGCTATCTTTTGCCAGACACCAAATACAAACTTCACCATGTGGGTTGTAGGGTGGTGTCTAACCCCTTATGCCAGTGCAGGTGTGGCTGCCAGCTGACTTAGGGGCCCCATGGGCCACCTGCCTCTCATCCTTCCAAAGGCTTCATCACTCAGGAGCGGAGGTGGTCATAAGCTTCTGCCACCTCATGTTTGCTAACATCTCACCAGCAGACTGAAGGTCAGAGTCACATCTTGTGCTCTGAGGGTCACCAGATAGAATGTAGGTTGCAAATGTGAATTTCAGATAAAAATGAATATTTGGGGGGAAGTTCTCAGACTAAAAAATTACTTGTAGTTTATCTGACACCAAATTTGCCTGGGCACTCTATTTTTATTTGCTAAATCTGACCACATGTTGCTCAGGATATGCTCCTCTCTGGAGACTAGAGCTCCTGTGGGCCAAAGGTGACCATAGTTATGTCCTGTGACAGCCCTGCTGGCTGGGTGGTGCAGGGAAGGTCCACAGGTTGGGAGCAAGGGGGTTAAGAGTAGATGGCAGCCAGGAGGCAAAGGCCATAGGGGAGACAGGTCCCAGGGCCAGTAGAGATGAGTACTCTTGAGCCACAACTTCTGCTGAGCTTGTTCCAGGAGAGGGAGCAACAGTAACCAGGAAACCTGTAGGGACAGCTCACAAAAGACCCAGGGGGATGGCTCTTGGCTAGTCCTACCGTGATGTGGGCCCTTAGGAGAAGGACCAGCTTGGTGTGAGTGTCTGTGAGTATGGAGGGTGTAGTGCTATCCACACATATGCACTTACATGAGGCCCTGAACCAACATGCTTCTCCTGAGCAGGCATGTGCTGGTGTTGTATGGTCACTCCAGATTGCATCTTTTTAAAGGTTATTTGAGGGCTTCATTACATTTTGCACTTCTTATTTCATGAAAATAAGTATAAAATAAAAAGAGACGTGCTCATATTGGTGATAAAACATAGAGGTCTTTTAAACCTAATATAGGTAAGGCAAGATGGAAATCACGGGATATGCAAAAAACAACCAACTTTTTAGCCTCAGAGGATTTAAAACTTATTAGCTATTACAGGTTTGTTTATGAAGAGAATGAAACTAAAGAATGCTATGAGGTGCTACAAATACACTGCTTAATATTGTGCTGAAAAGGTAATTTGGGATTTCATATTTTTTAACTTTCCGAGAACAGTCCCCTTGCAAACTGATCATTTGCTGTTAATTCTGAACAGAAGGGAAGCAGGCAGAGGTTTGTAGCTGTTGCACCCCTTTTGTCCTTTGACTTCCAGGAAGTCTAGGGACAGTTTTTCAGATCAGTTACATCACCTGTGTACAAGCTGGTTAGTAAGTGTTTTCTTAAAACTATTAAAATCTTTGTGAAACAAGGCAGGGTATAGATAACATGACTATCATGTCATTAATACCACCCTGTTTTGTATCCTGTAGCTTTTAGAAAGTTCTGAAATCAAATAGTGTGAGTCCTCCAGCTTTGTTTCTTCTCAATATTGTTTTGGGTATTCTATGCCCTTTGCCTTTCCATATAAATGCTATCATAACCAGGTCAATTCAAAAAACTCTGCTGACATTTTGATTGGAACTGCACTAAATCTATATGATGTTTAGGGGGGATTGATATCTTAATAATATTGAGTTTTCTGATCCAAGAAAATAGTATATCTCTCCATTTATTTTGTTCTTATTTATCTCAGCAATGTTTTATAGTTCTCAGTGAACAGGTGCTGGACATATTTTGTTAGATTTATCTATAAATAGGACATTTTTGATATTTTTAAATGGTGTTTTTAAACATTAATTTATATTTCTTCATTGCTAATATATAAAATATAATTGATTTTTGTGCATTGATCTTATATCTTTGCTAAACTCATTTATTCTAGTAACATTTTTTGTTTACAAATTTTTGGCTTTTCTAAGTAGATAATCATGTCTGTGAATAAATACAGTTGTACAAATCAACAATAAAAATCAATTGTCTTTCTATTCACCAGTAATGAATAATCTGAGAATAAAATTAATGAAATAATTCATTAATTTTCATTAATAGAAAATAATAATGAAAATAAAATTAAGAAAACAGTTCCATTCACAAAAGCATTAAAAAGAATAGAATTGTTAGGATTATATTTATTAAGACTCTTATAACTGAACACCAAATGATTTTGCTGAGAGAAATTAAAGGAGATTTAGATAAATGGAGAGACATTCAATGTTCATTGACTGGAAAACAATATTATTAAGATGATAATTTTTCCTAGATTGATCTATAGATTTAACACAATCCCTAAAACAATCTCAGCAGGGTTTTTTTTTTTTTTTCAGGGGCAGAAATCAGTGAGCTGATCCTAAAATTTATATGGAAAGGCAAAGAATCCAGAATAGGCAAAAGAAAATGAAGTTCAGAGACCCTTTTCTTCTAAATTTCGGAACTTGCTTTAGAAGAACGATATCAGTAAAATGGCAGAGTAGGATGTTCTTAGCTCTTGTTCCCTCACAGAAACATTGAAAAACAAGCAGAAACACTCAGAACCAATATTGTCAGAACTCTAGAAATCAGTAAAAAAATTATAGCAACCAAGCAAATGCCAAACCAAGTAAAAGGCAACTTGAAAATGGTAAGAAAGTTTTGTGGCATTTTTCTTAGCCTTGCCCTACTCTTTCCCCATCATGGTGGCAGGTTTTTTTTAATTTTTAAAAATTTTTATTAAATTAAATTAACTTACAAATAGTGTGTTAGTTTCAAAGGTAGAGTTCAGTCATGGTGGCAGTCTTAAAACCATGGCAGACCAATCTTAAAACTTGGTCCCTGGTTCCAGATAG